TGTCCTCACGCTTAGACTACTGTAACTCTCTTTTCACATGTCCTGAGCAAAACCTCCCTGAACCGTCTACAGGTGGTTCAGAATGCCTGTGCTCGGCTTCTGACCATGTCCTCCAAACATACCCACATCACCCCTCTTCTCCTCCAGCTTCATTGGCTGCCAGTCAACTTCAGGGTTCATTTCAAGATCCTGGTTCTGGTCTATAGGGCCTTACATGGACAAGCACCATCTTACATTGGTGATCTTCTTAGTCCCTACACCCCCTGCAGATCCCTGAGGTCCAGTGATCAAAGACTACTGATTGTGCAGCGCACCAGGCTAAAGACCAAAGGTGACAGATCATTTGCTGCTGTGGCCCCCAGACTCTGGAACTCTCTCCCCCTGAGCCTGAGATCAGTGGACTCAGTGGACTCCTTTAAAAAGCAAACTCACCATGTTCAAGCTGGCTTTGGTGTGACCTTTGTCACCCTCTTCTTTTCTGCTCTCCCTACCTATTCCACCTTCCTCAGGATCCACTGATTTCCCTCTTTCCTATTCACTCTTTCTCCCTCTTTCTTTACATTTTTAATCACAATTGTCTATTTTTTGCTCATTTTAAATATGTTTTTAACCATTTTCTAAATTCTTTTTTATATTTTTACATTTTTTGTTTTTGTGAAGTGCCTCGTGATTTTATCTTGAGAGGCGCTATAGAAATGATATTTTCTTCTACTTCATTTTTCATGAGGAATTCCAGCTAAGCTCCAAAAATACACTCCTGTTCCAGTCTGGGAATTCTTATCAAGAATTGTTGTTTACGGTTCCTTTTCCAACACACTGATAATGTTTCCCAGGAGTTCGACTCGATCAGGAAACATTTTTTAATCTCCCTTTTAACAATCTCAGGCTCAAAATAAGTTTTGATAAAAGGACGAAAAACTAAGTCCTTCAGGGGTACTTCTCAGTTAAAAATGCTCATGAAATACATACATGGCAGTAGGTAGGTTTTAACGTTGCAAATCTGCAACGCCTGCCTTCAGAGGGTTAAAATTTCACATCCACCAACCACGACTCAGCAAACTTTCCTGGATTGGGCTATTTAGTACTCGTGGCAACTGTCCAAAATTTTTGAATTTGATAGATTTGTGATAAAACATTTATAATCACTGCTCAGCCATAATATTATGACCAGTGATAATGCAACATAGAGCTGGAAAGTCTTTTTTGTTTTTTCACAAAGAAATCAGCCTCCACATTAGAACAGCATTCTGTTCCAGACACTCGTGGGCCTTCATTCATCAATTCTTTGTAGAAACTTTCCTATACTCCTTCCTACAAATTCAATTTATAAAGTTCGTACAAACGGCCAAAATCCTGACTCATCAAACATGTGCTGCAGGCCACTCGTGCATGTCCCTCCTCAACGCCTGCCTCCAGAGGATTAAAAAGAAAAATCATTACAGTTGATGTTTTTCCTTTTTCAAATCCTGCTGGGAAACATTTCTAATGATTGAGTTTGGAAATTATTCAGGCATTATTAAATAAGCTGTGAGCTGTCAGCTGATTGTAGAGAAATGCATTTTATTACGTGATCAAAGTAAAATAACCAGATGGACACCATTCATACACACACCCTGGTATTCCAACAGCTGATTGTTAAAGTTTGGCTTCTGTTTATACAACTGCTGCTAAATCATGTGACAGTCTGCTCCACATTTATTTATGCTTTTGTTTTCAGCCTCTTCCAGGAATCAGCTGGTATGATTTACGGTGAATTTCTCTTTAGCTTCTGTCCGTAAACTCCAGATTCTTTCTAATTCTCTCCTCTAGATTCCCATCACACTTTTCCAATCTACCACACGTCCTTGTAATTAAATAAATATTATTGATCAAAAGTCAGTCATGGGTTTTCTAAGGATTTTTAAGCATTTCTTTGGGCTCGGCTGCTTTTTTTTCCTGCCCTTGTACCGGACCATGACAGGACACACAAATAAGAAGAAGTGACAGGACAATTCATCCTTCAGCTGATCATTTACTGTATGTGAAGTTTTCAGCTGATAGATCCCTTTGATGTGGTCGTGTTTGGAACAGTCTTCAGGCAACAAAAAGTCTAAAGATTTTATTTATTTAGGCCCTCAAAGCCTAAGTAATAACGAACAATTATATAAATATTAAAAACATGTTATTGGGCAATTGTACGGTATTAAATCAGTAATAAAGCTATAATTGACATTTAGGTCCTACAGTACTTAAATTTCCCACAAGGAGGCAAACGTCCAGTACAGAACTCAATGGAGAAGATATTAGAGGAATGTACTAATCCTGTTAAAGAGAAAGAGGTCTAAGACGTTTAGAAACATGCATCAAATATGACACATATTGTTCCTGTGAAGTTCAGACATGTTTGAAACCTGAATTATTCATAGATTAGAGTCAAACCTGGCTTTTATGTAGGGTGATTTCATTTTTTGTCATTGTCATTCGTTCTCATTTTTATTGATTTTATAATTGCGTGATGTAATGTTGTTTTTATCCTAACTTGCTAATTATTATGGTTTTATGATTTTAGTTATGCTGTCTTGCTATGTTATCTTGTGTGCTTGTACAGCACTTTGGGTTGCGGAAGCAATAATAAGTGTGCTTTAGAAATAAACGTGACCTTGACCTAGAGTTGCAAGGCCAAAAAAGAAAATGACAACCTTCAGGAATTTAACAGTGTTAGGTTTAAAAAAACAGTATGGATTAAGGCAACTTCAAAGGACTACCACAAGATAGACGATGACGAGTTCCAACATCTTGTTGGGACTTTTTCTGATTTCTTAAAGCAGAAATCTGGAGCTCTTTTCTCAGAGTGCACCATCTAGAGGTGGAAACATGCATGGCATCTATAGCCCCTCCCCTTACTCCGCGATTACGGCTGGAAGCAACGCCTCTCATTGGTGAACATGTGTCTCTAGACAGCATCTGGGATAAAACGTGTTGTTTTACAGTTATTCCACATTATGGTGTTTATTATATTTTACAGTCACCAGCTCTGCATCTGTCTAGGAAATTCAGCAAACATGCATGCCCACTCTGGATTGCTGCTTTAAGTATTCTATCGTTCCAGTAAAAAGACAATCTTAGACCTGCAGTGAGGAAGTTTAACTTTGTTTCCTGCATTTTTCTTTAGCATAAATAAACTGCACGTTCCTCGGTACATCACAGACTGATACTCACACGAACAGCCAGGACTCACGTCACAGGGTAGAGGAGCCAAAGAACCAACAACCTTCACCACATCTAGTAACGAAACGTCAAAGACGTGAAGCTTCTCCTGTCTCTGAAGACGCTTTCACTCTCTTTTCTGACTTTCTCCAGCCACACTGAGTCCAGCTGTAGCCATGTTTGACTCTAGACACGCAAATAAGACACTTCCTCCGCTTTGGAGCTCAAACACAAGTTTTATCTAAATTGCCTTTTTCCTGAGCTCAAAGGGAGCCAGCTCACTCCTTCAGCAGTGGGAAAAGACATTCCTTATTCTGTGAACCTTGACTTATGGGAGGGTTAAAGTGCTGCTTGGATTCACTTTTAACTTTTTGAGCTGCGGGTTCATTCTTTCTGATTTCAAAATGAGAACGCCTCTGTCCGCTGTGGGAATCAGTCAGGTGTGACACAACATGTCAGTAATGTAGCGTTAGGAAGGTCACGCCACATTTTCTCAAGTTGGAAAATTACTCAAGGTCTTCCAGCTGAGAGATCCAGACAGCTCCTCCATGTTTACTGATAAGCAGCTGTAAAGCACGTCACCGGATTGAGTGTCATCCCGGTGAAAGGCCTTTTCTCAGAATAAAACACTGAGAACCATAAACGCATCAGATGACCTAAACCCTTACGTCAAGCACGTTTCAGGTTAAACATTCACTTGATGCATATAACTAAAAGCTTTTAATGTTCTCTTCAAGGGCTGTGGTTAATGAAAAGTGACATATGTGATTAGTCTGCCCTTTTTTTTAAATAATTAATAGCATTTGAGAAGTTTAGAAGGATTTTACCAGCAGCTTTCTTATTTTTTTTCCTCTTTGCTGTATCCAAAATCAAATCATTCACTTCTTTTCTTATTTGCATGTTATTTTCATCATCCTCCATCAGGCCAGCACCCATCAGTTTCCAAATAACACAGCAGCACAACATCAAACATCACTTTTTTCTCTCTAATTTAATTTAAAATAATGTTTTTTTAAAGAACTTAAAGGCGTTGAACACTTGTTTAATAAGTACATTTGCAGTGGTCTCTTGTAGGAATTAATTCCTTGTACGTCGTACTCAGGGGACAGAACACCAGTGCACTATTTCCATGAGCTACCTACATCACAGCTGAGTTTCAGAAGGCAGGCTTTGGACTCTGATTTCCTGATATTTGGACATCTCACCTAAGATTGGATAACAGTAACGCGACTCTACCACTAACTTGCACAACTGATGTTTTATCTCCACAAATAACACAAACCTGGAGGAGCTTTTGCTGTGTGGTGAAGTTGCTAAAGCCGTTAGCTTCTACTAGTCTCTGCTGTGTCCTGGACGTTAAACCAACGACAGCCTTCCCCGTCGTGAGTCGAGATAGGTGAGTTCATGAATGTTAAGTGACAGTGTGATGTAGAACTGTCAGGATTTTCAGATCCTAGCATCTCACCATCTATATCAGAAGCTAATGCGGGAGATAGGCGTAGGAGACTAGTTTCATGTTCAGCCTGCATGAAAAACTCAGAGTGACCCATTATAATCAGAAATAATCATTAAAAATAGTTTTTCAGTGTGTTACACATTTAATGGTGGGGTTACTTTGAGGTAATCACCAGAATGGCTCTAGTTTAGACTCGAGAACATCTGAACAGATCAGATTACAGCCCAACTTATCAGCTCAGACCCAAACAGCCTGCAGCCCAGAACCAACAGGTGTTCAGTTACCTGTTCCAGCCACGAGGCTTGCATAGGGTGACATTAAACTCCCAACTGTACCATTAAAAACGTTTAGGACTCACGGAGTGAAGCTCCTCCCTGAGAAGCCGAGATTGTTCGCCGTGCTCCAACTGGACTCGACTTTTGTCCCGTTCTGCCTCGCCAAGTGCCCAGGTCAGTTGCTCCATTTGGGCAACCAGGTCCCTCACATCCCTCTCCAGGTCTCCCACCTGGCTCTCCCACTGGGACTGGGAGCCCTCCAGCTTCAGTCGCAGATCATGCCGGTCCTGCTCCAGTTCCTGGACACAGGCGGAAAGGATTCAGTTAACAGATGTACAAAACAAGTAAAACACACAAGTTAGTCAACTAAGCTAATGAAGTCTGTTTTAAATGTTGTAAATCACCAGAAGCCATTTAAGTAACTTTGAGTCCATGTTTTTTATTGATTGGAACATCTATATTTGCATATTATATACATATTTTGACATTTAAGTTGATTTTAGTCACTAAGTCTAAGAGCTCTGCAAAATGTTGCTGGTCCAAATCTGATTAAACATGAGAGTTTTCTGCAAACACATTCAATCCTGATCCAATCTGTTGACTGTTAGTGTTTCAAATAAGATTCAAAACCTTTCATTTTCAGTGCACAAACCTATACAGAACTGTTGTTAAGTGGTATTCAAAACAGAAGAGAATCTGCAGTGAAAAGCTGAAGGAGAAATCCCATTTTACTTTGAAAGGATAAAAAGTTGTTATTCTGTCAGTCAAAACTCCTCCAGTGTGCACCTGTGTGAAACTAAAACAGTAATTAGGAGACCACCTGGGTCAGGAAAGAGGTGAAATTCAGAGAATCATCACCAACTGGACCAGAAATTTGTGTTACACAAGCTTAGACCAGGTCGGTGGTTTATTTCGTTACCTGTGCATTAATCCTACCAGAGAAACATGTTTGTTTGAGTTAGAAGTATTTATTAAGTCATCAAAACAAACAAACAAAAAAAAACCTGCAGATCAAAAAGAAAAAATATCTTGTTAAAAATGTTTTATCTTCATTGGAATGTTTGTAGGATAAGTTGGATGTACTAAATGGTGAAATTTTATCAAATGTGTTTCTTCCATCCTGCACTAACAAAAGAGGCTACAACATTTGCGGTCATCTCTATAAAGTGTACTTCACTGGATGCATGAGGGTTCCTGTTAAACTGGTGGTTGCAAAGGGATACAGATTAAAGTGATAAATGATGAAATTAAAAGCAACATTTTGTCACATCTAGCTTCTCACAAGTCAAAATGTCAAAAACTTTTAACCCCATTTAATCTTAAAAATCACATAAACAATAGTAATAATAATAATAATAATAATGTTAATTAAAAAGTATAACTCTGACATTAGGCAGAGAATCTCTTTGGCATGCTTTTATTTTGATAGGGAGCATTGTCTCAGTAAATATTTTGTTTAAATAGTTTAAATATTTAAATGTAACACGTGAATTTAGATTTGATACCATTTAGATGTATTTTATATATTCAGATTTGGTTCTAAATATTCATTTTTGTAGAGCTAGACGCTGTTTTTGACCATTACCTTTCACAAGCGGAGCCCCATATGTTGCCTTGTTCTGAGATTTAGGACATTTTTATAAAGAAACTATCGATCTGGTCTGATTTATGATCTTTTCACGCATTTTTTTCCCCCTCTAAGCAGCAGGAAATTCAACCGGAGCTGTTTACGATATGAATATTGTCCGTAGGCCCGAAACCGCCAACTTTAAACAAACTTTAAGCAGCCCATCAGCAAAGCGCTCACTGATTGTACCAAATTACGTCCCTCTGTCTGATTTTAAACCACTTTAAACTAAATTAAGCAGCTTTCTCACCTCCAGCTTGCTCGCGTACTGCTCATGGATCTTCTCTTTCTGCTCCTTCAGTTGTCGGTTTTCCAGGAGCAACGCGTTTCCCAGCTGCGCTGCCAAAATAACCTCTTCCTCCTTTTGTTTCAGCGCAGCCAGGAGTTCACTGGGGTCCTGGTAATCTGTTATTTCCTCCGTTCCATAGTCAAAGTAGAAATCCTCCTCCAGGTTCATTTTCTTGGAGGTGAAGCTCCATCCATCCAGTCGATCCATCACTAGCTCAGAGACGCTGCACAGACGCGGTGCCATTCATTACACCTGACCGCGTCAGGATGAGAGCGAGGCTAGTAGGCTGCATGGGCTCCAGTGGGAGGAGTCTTCGGTCACCTGAACAGCAACCTGCTCAGCCACCTGCAGTCACCTGTCTGCATCCGGAAAATGCCAGCGCTGCGTCAGCTCAGTTTCAGTCGTCACCAAAATGTCTGATGTCTCTTCTCGCCAATTCAACCGAGTTACGTTTGTTTCTATAAGCCAGTTGACAAGAAAAAGTCCCACAATAAATAGCAAGTCATCTCAGGTCCATCTGTCTCCAGTAATTTTGATAAAATGAGAGGTTTTAAAATACTGTTTGGTGAGATTTACCCTACAAGAAGGAACTGAATCAAATAAAATCTTTAAATTATCACTTTTAACAAAGAACTACTAAATTAGGGGTGCAGTCCACTCATTGTTTGATATTCACTTCAATAGGATGCTCGGCATTGGCTTCTTTGTTTAAACCAGTTATCAAAATTGTCTCTGACGCATATATGCGGGTTCCTCCCTTAATAAAAAAAAGTAAGAAAAACTAAAAAAATATATAATTTTTCCTATCAAGCCTGTTATCTGTGCAAAATGACAATAACATCAATTGAAATTAGTCAATAGGAAAAATCACTCTGTGATGCCTTTACACTAATCTTTCAGAGCTTTTTAAGCATAAAAACCTTTTCTGAACGAATGCGGTGATGCTGACGCTGGAGAATTAGAGTCTCCCCTTTTCTTTGGGGACTTCCATCATCAACAAGGGTTTTTGAATTCTGCAAAGGAGAAATGCCTGCCTGCTTTGTCTAGATGCTCTTCAGAGGTTAAAGGTCATCTTCTGCAAGGTTCCACAGTGCAGGGGGCAGAGTCTAGGGAATAGAATACAAAGCGGCTTGACGCGCAGCAAGGCTTTGTAGTGAGGAAAGCAACCGCTTCTGTACATATGGCAGCAAATGGAAGCACTGTATGTGTCAGAGCTCTGTCCGCTTCGCTGCCATTGTCTCCATTGTTCCTGTTGGCTTTGCAGGCTGCTGGTGTTTGTGATCCCACAGATCACCTGCTGTGAAGTCTGACAGAGCTCAACAGGCAAAGCTAGCAGTGTACTTGAGTTCAAACGTGTGTGAATGTGAGGGTGAATTTGTCCAAATCAGAATCTGAATAAATCAGAATACGGGATTCTCCAGCAATCTTCCAATTTTTCCTCTGTCAAAAGTTGCAGGAGGAAAATGACCTGGAATCGCGCAGATCTCACATTCATAAACTTCAGAGGTACTTTGAAGTCAGACCGTCATCTATTTTCTCATCAGCTGCATCCTTAACACCTGATGCATCAGCCTCTCTCATGTCTCTCCTGATTCTCATGGCAGTTCTCTTGTTCGTTCTTCCTTCCATCTCAGGAACATTGCTAAGCTGAGTCCCATTCTGTCCCGCTCTGAACGTGAGACAGTTATCCACACCTTCATCTCCTCACGCTTAGACTACTGTAACTCTCTTTTCACGTGTATGAGCAGAACCTCCCTGAACCGTCTACAGGTGGTTCAGAATGCCTGTGCTCGGCTTCTGACCAAGTCCTCCAAACACACCCACATCACTCCGCTTCTCCTCCAGCTTCACTGGCTGCCAGTCAACTTCAGGGTTCATTTCAAGATCCTGGTTCTGGTCTATAGGGCCTTACATGGACAAGCACCATCATACATTGGTGATCTTCTTAGTCCCTACACCCCCAGCAGGTCCCTGAGGTCCATTGATCAAAGTCTACTGGTTGTGCAACGCACCAGGCTAAAGACCAAAGGTGACAGATCATTTGCTGCTGTGGCCCCCAGACTCTGGAACTCTCTCCCCCTGAGCCTGAGATCAGTGGACTCAGTGGTCTCCTTTAAAAAGCAGCTGAAAACTCACTTGTTCAAGCTCGCTTTTGTGTGACCTTCATCACCCTCTCCTTTTCTGCTCTCCCTACCTATTCCACCTTCCTCAGGATCCACTGATTTCCCTCTTTCCTATTCACTCTCTCTTTCTTTACACTTTTAATCACAATTGTCTATTTTTGCTCATTTTAAATATATATATATTTTAATCATTTTATAAATAATTTTTTTATATTTGTACGTTTTTTTGTTTTTGTGAAGCGCCTCGTGATTTTTATCTTGAGAGGTGCTATAGAAAAGATCTTTTCTTCTTCTTAAGCCTCAGAAGAGCACACAAGTTGATGCGTCATCATCAGAAAAGAAAGAAGCTGGGAAACCCCTGCCAATGTGGCAAAATGAAAACAATTCTGCAAAGAAGAGTGGAACAAAAGACCTCCAGGGATTGACCACAAACTCCTAATTACAGACAACCAGACTGATCTGAAACAATTATTCAGCTTGTTTGCAGGTAGCCTGCGTGTGCGCACTCTGGCCAACAGGAGGCGACATTCGCCCTGCTGACCTGTGCGTGCGCACTCCGCCCAGCAGGGGGCGACGTGAGCACTGCCCTTTGGACTCTAATAGAAGGAAGCGGACTTTGTAAACACGGTTCAACTTTTAGTCGCTGACGTTCAGAAACAGATGTAAATTTATCGTTATGGTGGCAATGGAGAGAAGCAAGGAGACAGTTTCAGCTATTAAAGCTCTGGGGTGAATAATATCGGATAGTTCAGTGTTTGTGTGTCGCTTGTAAAGCCATGTATAATATGTTGTTTTGGATACTTGTTCATAATTATGTACTTCGAGCTTCTAAGCTAGCTTAATTGTATATATTCTTTGTGCTTGGATGTCCTAAAGTTGAGCAGGGTTTGGTTTCCCAGTCTTTTGTGGACGTGATGCTGGCCAGGTGGCTTTACCTGTTGTGTTCACTTCCTGTTCCAGCTACCCGAGCGGCTCGTGTTTGTCCCGGTGCAGGTGTGACGAGCTCCCCTGTCCGCTGCTCACCTGGCTGTCTGTGGAGCTCAGGACTCTGTGTCCAGAGCTGCAAGGTGAGACACGCCACAGCCTGTCTGTGTGTTACTCTTAGATCTAAACATAAATAAAGGTTTATCTGACTTTAAAATCCAGGCTACCATAACAAGGGATGCAGCTTACCATAATAAATCAGTAGGATGACGAAATGTTTCAAACATCCCTTTGATTTTCTGAACGTAGATCTTTTTTTAGACTTCCTGTCTGGATTCTTGCTGAACTCTAACACTCACCATCAAAGTAACCCTGATAAGTTAGATAAGAGACTCTTCTTTTCATAGTTAGGCTTCTTTTGTTTAACAGCAGTCTGAATGTGCATCTAAGTTAAACGTTTGTTACAAAATCTCCACATTTTTAGTTACTTTGATTGCATCTTTATATATTTGTGCCGTGTTTTGAAATTATAAGCTCATTTTATATTATTAGATTTATTCTAAATGACTCAGTTTAACTCAAGTCTGTTAATTATTAATATTTTTTATTAGATTAAAGCAGAAAAGATTGAACTTTTATCCAAACTATCCAAAATTTTATGTCAAATTTAAGTAGTTTAAGTAGTTTAGATTTGCCTTCTTTCTCTATAATACAATTTTTGCTGAAACATTTCAAACATTCACCAATAAAATTAGATAAAACACAGAAAAATGCATGCCCATGTAAAATTAAATTGTCCTGCCTATTTTTTAGACCCAGATAGAACAACCAATGTCCTGTTGGTGAAAGAACTGCGACATTTACTATCAAGCATGAGCTCTCCCCTTGCTGACATGACATCCGATGTGTTGGAACCATCTGTCCTCAACAATGTAACTGGTGAGAGATAAAATCCTTGTATATGGTGTTTTATTTTAACATTTGCACCTTTTTATTAAGAAAATGTTGCTTAAAGGGACTTTACAGTTTTAAATTTTTATGCTCGCGATTGCCCCCTCAGGCCAAAAGTGTAACGGCAGCTTCAATAGTAGGCTCGTGCACGAGGCGCACATGCTGTACGTGCACACTCCTTAACGAAAATAACAGCTGAGACAGTCAGCTCCGTGTGTGTGTGTGTGTGTGTGTGTGTGTGTGTGTGTGTGTGTGTGTGTGGCCCGGAGGACAGAGGACAGGAGAACACGCAGCTAATTAATTAAATAATTTGGTTCTGTACCTTTCTCTTCAGCACAGCCTACAATGTTTTAAGATGGGTCAGTCCTCCTGCATGCTCTTGAAAAATTGTTCCAAAATGAAAGATGAACCCACATCTTATCTGTGAATTCAATGCCTGCCGTTCGGCGAGTCTCAAATAAAAAATTGGGCATCTTACTGTAAACAAATATACCATTAATGTAAAAAATAAACTCTAAATAAACTATGTTCACATTCAGAATCAAACCCGGGTCTCCTGCATGAAAGTCCGACGTCTTACTAGGCTAGCTAACGGGCCAGTGATGTCATTCGCATCTGTACCATTTAAGAACGGTTCGGAGGGCTATGCCTGAGCGTGAACGCGCATGAAGCAGCCTGCTCGACCCGAGCAGCTCTCTTTTTCTGTGATTTTACAGAAAAATAGGCAATCACAGTAAAAATGCCAGGGCTCATTCTACAGGACCAGGGCATTGCAGGAGAATGTTAGCCTGGCAAGCCAGACTAAATAAATGTATTATTTAGTCTGGCCATGCTCCATTGACGGCTCTCGGTTGTGGGGCGGGTTCTACCGTCGTCTTTCAAATGATCTCCGCATTCCACTGGACAATGAATGTGACATACTCTTGTTTCACTCTGTTGCATCATCCCACCCACCAGGCATATAGAGTGCCCTGATTGGCCCACAAAGCGGATAAAGCTCTGTGATTTGTTCACTAAGCAGATAGAGCACTATGATTGGCCCACCATTATGGACCAATCACAGCTCTTTATGTGTTTGAAACCCCTCTAGAGAGCTGTGATTGGCTAGCCAGAGTCCTGGTAGGAGCTGCGGAGGTTCCAATGGAGCATGCCTAGACCATTCTTTGCAAAGCAAGAATTTGGTCTAGTTCACTAGGCTAGGAGAATGTATGAAGAAGAAATGTATTATTTCTATACATGTTTTGGCTGTCAAACTTCCATAATGGCCCTTTAAATCCTGCAGAGTTTCTTGTGTCAGAGTTGCTAACAGCTCGGATAATGAAGCATAAAGAGTCACATCCTGAAGAGAATTTGAAAGAAGATGATTCCGCAAGAGAGCAGCGACTGGAGGGGGATCGAGGTTTTTCTCAGGAATATGAGGACACTGATGCAGCTGAAGCTAGCAGACCATCAGCAGAGATGCAGGCAGAGTGGATTTTACTGCTCCGTTCACTTGGTTTGGGTGCATCGTCTCAGTTGGATGATGTGAAGAGTGAGGTAAGCCTTATGGAAGATCTGGACCAAGACAATCTCAGAGCATTGAAACTTTTTTATTTCAGGTGAAGCTGAGGATTGATCATCTACCAGGTGGAGAAATGGCTAACCCTCTTCTTAAACCCATCCTCAGCTCAGAGCAGTGGGTACGCCCATAGCAATGTTTTCACTTCAAGAGACATGAAAAAAACTCTGAATATTTGCAACTTTTTTCTTTTATTTTATTCAGAGGGAAGTGAAGAAGATCAATCAGGTTCTGCTAGAGGACTATGGGTGTCGGCGACAGATGATGATCAAGCGCTTCCAGGTCACGCTTCAGTCATTCGCGTGGGGAGAAAAACAAAAGGTTGTCAAGTGAAATGACAGTTACAATGTTCTTATACATTACTGACAGCACTTACTGCAGAGCCATCATGTGGTCTGTTCAGAACACATTACAATGATCACATAAAAACAATTTGCTCCTGGTGAATACATGAGTGTGAACAATTAAAGAGCAAATGGTAGAAACATAATAATCTACAGGGAGTGCAGAATTATTAGGCAAGTTGTATTTTTGAGGAATAATTTTATTATTGAACAACAACCGTGTTCTCAATGAACCCGAACAACTCATTAATATCAAAGCTGAATGTTTTTGGAAGTAGTTTTTAGTTTGTTTTTAGTTTTAGCTATTTTAGGGGGGCATCTGTGTGTGCAGGTGACTATTACTGTGCATAATTATTAGGCAACTTAACAAAAAACAAAGATATACCCATTTCAATTATTTATTTTTTACCAGTGAAACCAATAAAACCCAATATAACATCTCCACATTCCCAAATATACATTTCTGACATTCAAAAACAATACAAAAACTAATCAGCGACCAATATAGCCACCTTTCTTTGCAAGGACACTCAAAAGCCTGCCATCCATGGATTCTGTCAGTGTTTTGATCTGTTCACCATCAACATTGCGTGCAGCAGCAACCACAGCCTCCCAGACACTGTTCAGAGAGGTGTACTGTTTTCCCTCCTTGTGAATCTCACATTTGATGATGGACCACAGGTTCTCCATGGGGTTCAGATCAGGTATCTGCGTTGGTGTAATTGCAAGCCGCCATGTTGGATGGGTCACCAGTCGCCCCCAGTACGTTCATTGGGCTAGAAAAGTCTATAGTAATCCCACATAATGTGTTTTCAATAATACGTCGATTGTTGGAACCGTAGACTGCACAAAAACGGGCCTAGTTCTCACTCGGCGTTCACTCCGATTAGGTTTTGGAGAGAGAGGAACCCATCCAGTATGATGGCGAAGTGGTAATACTCCAGTGCTAAATGTGGCTTCAACCTATTTTGTTTTCGTTTCATCTCATTCCCAACTCTTGTAGCAACTAGCTGTCTGTTTCATAAAGTAGTACATTTGTACTGCTTTCAAAAGTAATATTTCTTCAAAAGTAGACCTGCTTTTTATTCTTATGGCTGTTTGAATGTGGGACTACTTTCTTTCGAGCGTAATGAGAAAGTAGTAAAGCGGCACTCACGCGATTGTTTTAGACCGAGTGGTCGCATTTAGTAAACGGGAAACACAGCTGTGTACTCTGAGTCGGAAAATAGCAGCAATTATGATTTAATTATCTTAGAAACTCATAAATTAGAGAACAAAAACTATTTTTATGGAAACATGTTTGATGTAATATGTCAGGGACAAATTTCTGTTGAAATATATTTAAATCAAAAAATGCTTTTACCAGTTAGTTTCCAAGTCCATTTTGACGTTCCCACGCTTCAGCAGCTCTTCTTTCACCATTTAAATTATTTTCCCAGTTTTGCCTGTTACCTTCAACTCTTGCTGCTGACTCAAAACTGTATGGCTGTGCACCTTCTGTCCATCCATCCATTTTCATCCGCTTATCCGGAGTCGGGTCGTGGGGGCAGTAGCCTAAGGCAAGAGGCCCAGACTTCCCTCTCCCCAGCCACTTGGGCCAGCTCCTCCGGGGGAATCCCAAGGCGTTCCCTGGCCAGGTGAGAGACATAGTCCCTCCAACGTGTCCTGGGTCTACCTTTAGGTCTCCTCCCAGTTGGACATGCCCGGAAAACCTCACCAGGGAGGTGTCAAGGACCAGTCCTGACCAGATGTCTGAGCCACCTCAACTGGCTCCTCTCGATGTGGAGGAGCAGCGGGTCAACTCCGAGCTCCTCCCGAATGACTGAGGTCCTCACCCTATCTCTAAGGGAGAGCCCAGCCACTCTTCGAAGAAAACTCATTTTGGCCGCTTGTATCCGCAATCTCGTTCTTTCGGTCACTACCCAAAGCTCATGATCATGGTTGAGGGAATGAACGTAGATCGACCGGTAAACCGAGAGCTTCGCCTTCTGACTCAGCTCTCTCTTCACCACGACAGACCGGTACAACGCCCGCATCCCTGCAGATGCATCACCAATCCACCTATCGATCTCACGCTCCAGTTTTCCCTCACTCGTGAACAAGACCCCGAGATTAGTGTTGTCAAAAAAATCGATACCCAGATATAAATCGATACTAAAAGTGGTATCTAAATGAGATATTCCATCCCTGTGGTATCGATATTTTGGACTATTATACACAGCCTTCTTCAAGTACACCGACACGCACGACAGCCAGATGCCGTACGTAAACCAGCCTCCACCTCCCAGACAAACAGAAGAAGACGCCGCATGGCTACATAGCAATTTCCCACGCGAGTTGTCTCCGATCCAAGTTTTGTCTGCCAAATAAATAAACAAAAACATAAACAGCGAATTTGGGAGGCGCTTCACAGCCCAACTTAATTAGCATACCAAGTCCGACACGTAGTTGTATATTCACGCTTATGTGCTTAAAGGAAACTCCCGTTATTGCAACCCGGACTTAATTTCTAGCATGCAGTACGTTTGTTTACTCACGCTGACAACTTTGGTGCTACTTGGATTCCCCGGGGTATTTACCGTAGGTCCATCGCCGAATCGCCGTCAGCGTATATCCATATAACGGTGCGGACAGGCACCCATGGTGCAGCCTCGAAATAAGACATTATCTGCACCAAAACATCTTCATGTCGAAAGGTTTTGTTAGGAATCATTAACGTGATTCCCCTGTTCGTTTGGAGCGGGTCTGGTCAGAGATTTCTAGACGTAAACAGACTAGCTGCGGCTAATCTAACCGGCGCTTTTAATGACGTCACTGCCGTGCGCCAGTCTGTTTTTATTAAGATTACCGGTAGATGTACGTTTGTCCTACTGTGGAGAAATTCGTTTTCTCCCTTTATTGACCAACAGAGTTGTTCAAAAGTACAGAACAAAACATATGGCATTACATCTTATGACAAAAATGCATTACATCTTATGACAAAAATGCACCTTAAACAGAGTTTAAGCAGCAAAACATCACTCTGCAAATAGTGTATATATAGTGAGACAATTCATGATTTAAAGTGTTAACTTTCACCAGTTTTTGTATGCACGTTTTAAAAAATGCTGACACTTGAAAGGTTTAAGCACTTAATACACTTAATTCTTAACATTTAATTTTTGTAATATAAATTGAGGAATGTTATTTTTTGAATAAACTTGTTCGATAAATGGGTGTTTTTAAATAGTATCGAAACCGAGTATCGAGTTTTTTTTCCAAGTATCGAATCGAGTTTGAAATTTTAGTATCGTGACAACCCTACCCGAGATACTTAAACTCCTCCACTTGGGGCAGGACCTCATCCCTGACCCGGAGAAGGCATTCTACCCTTTTCCGAATCAAGACCATGGTCTCAGATTTAGAGGAGCTGATTCTCATCCCAGCTGCTTCACACTCGGCTGAGAACCGCTCCAGTGAAAGCTGAAGATCACGTTCTGATGAAGCTAACAGGACCACATCATCTGCAAAAAGCAGAGACCCGATCCTCAGGTCACCAAAACGGATGCCCTCCACACCTTGGCTGTGCCTAGAAATCCTGTCCATAAAGGTTATGAACAGAATCGGTGACAAAGGGCAGCCTTGGCGGAGTCCAACTCTCACTGGGAACAAGCCCGACTTACTGCCGGCAATGCGGACCAAGCTCTGACACCGGTCATACAGGGACCTAACAGCCTGTATCAGAGGGCCTGGTACCCCATACTCCCGGAGTACCCCCCACAGGGCCCCCCAAGGGACGCGGTCAAACGCCTTCTCCAAATCCACAAAACACATGTAGACTGGTTGGGCAAATTCCCACGCACCCTCCAGCATCCCCCTAAGGGTATAGAGCTGGTCCAGTGTTCCACGGCCAGGACAAAAACCACATTGCTCCTCCTGAATCTGAGGTTCAACAATCCGACGGACCCTCCTCTCCAGAACCCCTGAATAGATCTTACCTGCACCTTCAGTATGTAACAAAAATTAATATTCATATTCAGAATCTGCTGCTGCAAATTCTTTTTTTTTTTTTTTGAGCAGAGCCAGGAAATTTTTCCATGACTAAGATCACTTCCGGTTTCTAGCAAGACGCGCTGTTTTTAGACGGATGAGCTAGGAGAGCCTAGTTGGAACAGTTATAGCACCTTTTTTCCTCGAATATATTCATTTTATAAATGAAAATGATCTAAAGCAGGGGTGTCAAACTCAAACTCACACGGGGCCGAAATGAAACTCTGGGACGGAGTCGAGGGCCAAACTTAATATTTTTTGAAAAAGTGACGGCAAATTTGCACCTTTTTTTTTATCAGCATGTATGCAATTTTGAACCTTTAAATTTGGAAACAAACTTATTTCTGCATTAACACTGAATGTGGAATAACCAAATTACACACGAGCAAGTCAGTTACAAATAAAACACATCAGTGGTATTCATTACTTGTGGTATATTCAGCATTTTTAAAATCTATTCAAGATTTATGTTTTCTTGTTTATTCATTTTTCTTATTTTTTATTCTCCTTTTTTTCTCCTGTAATAAGTGTCATCACTGCTGTGACGTCTAGCTTTCCCCACTGAGGAACAATAAAGGGATTTTCTATTCTATTCATCTATCTGCAGACTTTCCACTTCCTGTTTACTGTAGGTTAAATCTTTTCTCACGGGCCAACAACAAAATAAAAATATCATTTTATCTTAAATGAAAATGCAACATCTCACCTGTTAACTTTCATGTTTTGGAGCAGAAAAAGAGCAGAAAACCAACATATTTAAAGCTCAGTTTGCTCCACTGGTTTACTGTGATGCTCACCTGTTCCAGCCAGATACCTGCATCATGGGGTTGATCTGAGCTGAGGAGGAGACTCCTGTTGTTTTGTTCATCTTCATCATAATAATGACAACATTAGATGACAACAGCTGCTCACATAGGTTTGTGCTGATGATGTCTGAGCAGCTTGACCACGTTGTTGTGAGTCGGGGAGGAAACACGACAGCAGCCACAGAGCCATGCTGGTTTGAGCGTGTCGCTGCTCGCTGGAGTTATATCAGCTCTGTCTGGACGTTAGTTGGAAAACTTTCTCTTTCAGTCGTGAACACATTACTGAGCGGCTAGAATCTCCGTTTCTGGGCTTCAGCGTCAGAAAACAGCTGAGTGAACTCGGCGCTGAGTGAGAGGAGCGTAGTTTGTCCGAGACAGCGGAGCTGCAGATACCCAACTACCTCTGACTGCCTCTGCGCTGAAAAAACACAAAGGAGGGGGCGCGTCTGCTCCGCGCTGGAACCGCAAAGCATCATGGGAGTTGTAGTCTTTGCAGTAAAATCGGCCAGCGGGCCAGTTTTAATATATTTTTGATATTTATCTCGCGGGCCACATACAAATGCTCCGCGGGCCGCATCTGGCCCGCGGGCCTTGACTCTGACATATGTGATCTAAAGTCTCAACCTGTTACAATATAAGGGCTTCAACCTGTGTTTAATGGGGAAGAAGCGCTTTAAACAACTTGGTAAACCAGAACACATCAGCTCTGTGGAGGTCAATCACTGTGACAGATCTCTGTATTTCTTAAAAAATGTTTATTTGGAGCTTTCATAATGATTGTCGGCAATTCTGTCTGACATATTTGTTCAAAACTGACTGAAATGTACATTAACAGGAGCGCAGTGCTGCTCTGGCCTCAGTGCCTCCTCTTGCATCCCTTGCTGGATCGTCCCAAGTATCTCTGTCTTACCTGCTGGCTGCCAGAGAGGACCAGTCCTTCATTCACCCAATCAAAGCTGGAAAAAGCACCCCGGTCTACAAGGTAAAGTCATACAAGGTGCTCTCTCTCTCTCTCTCTCTCTCTTTTGTTCTTTAATTTTGGTAACACTTTTTACTCATATTAGATGCTGATGGGCAGTGTGCCAGACAGAGGAGGGCGGCCGGGGGAGATTGAGCCTCCAATGCCGGTGTGGGAAAAGAGACGAGCACAAGGAAACAGAGGAGGAAGAGGTGGTGGACATCATCATAAGCATAAGAAGAAGGCAAACAAGGAATAACATGACTGTTTGAAGGCTTTATTATGTAAAATGTATTAATCATTTGTGTGAAAATAAACAGAATGCTGCACGCGACATAATTTACAGTTATGAGTTCATATATAGTTTGTAGTTGTATGTACATATCCGACGGTGTACATTTCCAAAGTACTGTAAAGCTCATCATGGTGCACTGGTCTACAACATGATATTCATAAAATACTTTGTTCTTATTAAAGACATGAGACTTAGATTTTAAGTAATGGCTTTCCATTTTGTTTAAAAATAAATTTATCAAACAGTTATATGGATTTTGTCAACATTTTTCATAAATATTCTGTTGAGCCTTTAAAAATAAACCAATTCAAGTTTAGGGTTTTGGGTTTTTATCAATGTACTTCTGTTGTAATTACTGTGATGTTTGCAACACTAATAGATATTTACCTGACAACATTCATAGTTTTAGGCCAGTACTTGGCTATTTTCAGAGGAATTTTTTGTTGTTGTTGTTGTTGTTGAACCATTTATAATTAATTCAGACAAAATGTTCTTAAACTCAGAGGAACAGACAATGCTGTGTTACAGTTTTTCTCAATTGTTTTCACACATTTTCTGGTACTTGAGACACAATTACCACAACATGTAACCAACCCCCCTAACCAATTTTGCGAAACTACAAGCACAATTCCTGCTTTGCACTCAAATTTCAAATCTAAAACACACTTTTCTCACAACACTACACACAATTCTCTGCTGTTGGCACAGTTTTCATACAGGAACTATCTTGTTCTCACAAGGAACACACAGCTATTCAAATATGCACACAGACTCATCACAAGGGCAAACACCTGTCACACAGTTTTACAATCAGCAAACAGAACTTTAGCATAAAAGGGCAACAGGTGAGCTCTTCTGTGTTGGAGCAATGGATGCCAACTTTGGAAACAGGCAGAGCCAGAGGAGTGAGAGTAAGAGGAGGAGGAAGAGGAAGACCAAGGAACGTAATCTCTGATGAGATCCGAGCCACAGGTCAACAGGGTGCAATTTGAAGGAAACTCAGAAAGAGTCAAAGAATTGCGATATAACTATGTGCAAGTGAGTCCCGCAATTGATGCATACACTCAACACTGTTTACAGTAAATTATACATATTTCAATATTGTAATCATAATGACTGTGCTTCACACTAGTGACCACTCCACGTTTATTTCTGATATTGTCATGTGTGTTTCAGAGAGTCCTTGAGCTAGAGGCAGCTGCAGTGGAGCACCAGTTCATCTTCATTGATGAGGTTGGATTCAATCTCACAAAAAGACGAAAGAGGGGAAGGAATATCATTGGCCAGCGTGCCATTGTTGAAGTCCCTGGCCAACGTGGAGGGAACATCACAATGTGTGCAGCGCTTGGCTACCATGGCATCATCCATCACCATGCTACCCTTGGCCCCTACAACTCCGCCCATCTGATCACATTCCTGGACACCCTACATAACACACTCATTCCACCAGACCAGGTAGATGGTCCAGAACAGCCCAGGTACGTTGTCATTCGGGACAACGCAAGTTTCCACCAGGCTGCTGTGGTTCGTAAATGGCTCACTGGCCACCCACGCTTTTTAGTTGTTTACCTCCCTCCATATTCTCCATTCCTCAATCCCATTGAGGAATTTTTTTCTGCATGGAGACGGAAGGTGTATGACCGACAGCCACAAACCCGTATACCTCTTCTCCAAGCTATGGAGGATGCATGTGGAGATATAGCAGCTGATTCTTTTCATGGCCGGAATCGCCATGCTAGGAGATATTTCCCCCGCTGCTTGGCCAGGGACAACATTGCTTGTGATGTGGATGAGGCGCTGTGGCCAGACCGCAACAGAAGAGAGGATGCAGCATAGATTTATTGTTTTACTGTAACTGTATACAGTAAATTTCTGTTGGATGTAGTTTATGTGTGCAACTTTGTGTTGGTTGGGAATGGGATAAACATTGTGTACAATGTTTTGTGGGAAAAATAAAATAATTTCTACCATGTATTTGTGTGTTCAGAGTGTAAAAACAATATTCTGAAATAACAACACATGCATGTGTTTACTGTCTGTAGTAGGTATAACACTGAACCAAAAAGGCTTTAGTCATTATGATGAATGGAGAGGACGTGTTTTCCATTCATCATAGTGTTTAACATTGAGCACATGAGTGTTCTGCTGGTTCTTATAAATGTCTGTTCACATGATGGTTTGTGTGTGTCATTTGACAACAAAATCACATTTTGAGGAGAAAGTACATTGTTTTGAATGTGTTTAATTTTGCAGGTTAAGTGAGGGGTTTTGCCCATTGTGTGTGGTTATTTTCTGGATTTGTGTGTAGAGTTCTGAAAATATGGGGCATGCTTTCAGAAAATGTGGGTAAACAATTGAGAAAAACTGTAACACAATAAACTTAGCAAATAAGGTATTGGGTCTACCTAAGAATTAATTGGTAAAGAATTCTCATACCTGCTGCTTACTGGTCTTGCCTTGTGGAAATAAAGTATAAAGACAGTTTGGTGGTTTAAAATGTTTGCATGTTTCCCATTTAGTTAATTATTGTTAATGTTATAATACTAGCACATTAATGTTTAAATTACTTTTCTTGACACTAAGAAACCTTTTTTTTTTGTAAAAAAAAATATCTCAATGACTATAATGTAGTTTAGGTTCAGCCTCTGTATATGAGATATATAATGGAGTTTTTATAAGCCATACATTTCTCTTACGCAATTGCTTATTTATTTATTTATTTATTTAATTTAACAATGTGCAAGTGTACATCAAATTACAAATTAAGTATACAATACAGTTGAATTAATTTATGTAAACATTCAGCCAGGGGGGTTAATTAAACAAATATATGCAAAGATCCACAAACGTCAATCGTTTAGTGAGCCTTTTTGTTAGTGTGAACTTTTACACAATTGTTTGTGTTGAACCGGAAGTCAGTCGGAAGACAAATGATGTAACACGTAGAAAGTTCCGGATTATTCAAAGGTCGAAATAAAACTGCGAGCGTGAGGCTTAGTGGATCAGTGTTGTGGCTGTTTTAATAAATTAATCATCTAAGTCTACCTTATAGTTTAAAATGCCCAGAGGAAGCAGAAGCAGGACTTCTAGGATGGCCCCTCCAGCCAGGTAGTAAAATATAATTTATTTAAAGTTGTAGAAACGTTGTGAATTAGCTATGTGAGCTAACAGAAATGCTAACGTCCAAGTGTCGTGTCAGGCTGAGACTGCTAGAAACTCAAATGTAATTTGGTGCTTTAAATAACATAATGATGGCATCTAGACTAGTTTTTACCGTTCTACATGTTAAGATAATGTTTTATTAAATGTCTTCGACCAAAGTAATGAAGGTCACATGTGATTTTGATGTCATTGTTGCTAAAAGGTTGAGTTTTTGAACCTTTCAAAACAGAAAATTGCGCAAAATTAAAACTAGTGAAAACATCTTATTATACCAAGCTCTAAGTATGTCGTACTTTAATACACTTTATTTGAGATGTGTTTCTACAGTGTTTAGAATATTTAATTTTCTCATTCTCTATAAATAGTAAAAGTAAATTACCTAAAACTTAAGTAGTTATCTCAGTCAGTCACTATCTCTAACTTATTTTTCCACCTTAGTTAAATTAATTATAATTTTGCCTTGTTACCCACATTTTGCTGGTTTTTGGTGGAAACAGGTTGTGGGCCTTTAGTTTTTACTCAAATAAAATGAAAACCTGCAGAACCCTGTTGTGCAACTTAAGAGCAGGTCTGTGTTCGATGACCCTAAATAACCCCAAGCCAGACTATTTAAACACTCCTAATTATTTAAGCTCTTATTCGCGTTCACAGTGTACTGTGATGGAGTCAGAATCTGCAATCACAACCTTTTATTTGATTAAACAGCTGGACATTTAAGGCCCATGTGGATTTCTGTGCAGTATTGAACACATTTTTGCCGTTAAAATTTAAGAGTAATGCAAATCCTAACTAGCTCGAGAAGAAAGATAGTATTTGCTTTGACATTTAAGTGGAACTTTTCTCTTTACAATAGGGCACCACCATCTCCTCCACCTATGGCCCGTGCTGCACCTCCACCTGCTTCATCCCATGCTCCAGTTCCAATGCAGGCCCCTCCGTCTGCCTTAGGAGCACCGGCTGCTGCACCCAGACAGCCAGGTTTGCTAGCACAGATGGCCACAACTGCTGCTGGTGTAGCAGTGGGCTCCGCAGTAGGACACACCCTCGGCCATGCCATGACTGGAGCCTTCAGTGGAGGAAACTCTGAGCCTGCCAAGCCTGATGTCACGTACCAGGTATACTGAGGTGTAGCTGACCATTAGACTGGAATAGAATCAGATCAGAGTGTGACAGGCCAAACAGTTAGGACATAGCTTCAAATAGTGTTGGTTATAGACAAAACATAGAATACTTGCTTTTTCTTGAAGATATTTAGATGTTTTATTTTTGTACATTATGAAAATATTTTAAATGTAAACATGAAGTTACCTGCCTGTCTGTCAGGAGCCGTATCAGCAGCAGCCTCAGCAGCTGCAGCAGCAGGCCTGCTCCTATGAAATGAAGCAGTTCCTTGAATGTGCCCAGAACCAGAGTGACCTGAAACTCTGTGAGGGATTCAGCGAGGTGCTCAAACAGTGCAGGTTTGCTAATGGTGAGTGTTTATATATATATTTAAAAAAAAAAACATATTTGACCTTTTCATATTTCTATCGTTAAGATTATTTTTGTTCCGTCTTCATCTTCTTGTTGCTGCCATTTCTATTGTGCTGTCAAATCACTTAAACACTTTGTAATTCACACTTCAAAGACCACTGGCTCATGCGATTGAACTGTTTTGTGCTCGGTTGTCTCCTCTGTCCTCTGTCCTGTGCTCTAGAAATCATCCTTAGCTGAAGATTTTACAGAATCGTATTTTATAAATGTGCTTTTAAAGGAAAGAGCTCTAAAAAAATGTCATGCTGTTGTTTCAGTTTTAATAAATCTTTTTGACATCTGAGATGTTAACGAGCATAACAAGTGAATTAGTCATTAACTGAATTAAAGTTAAATTTGATTGTTCATCCGTCAGAAATTGTCAATATTCTAATATTGATTTGTTTTTTTTTAAAATGAGGCTGCAAATTAATTGTTCTTCAGCCAATCGCCATAACGGCATGGACAGGGTTTGCTGTCCGCAGATTGGGACAAAGGCATGACTTTGCACTATTCTGGTGACGTGTTGCAGTACTTAATGTGACCAGGAGGAGGAGTAGTGTGCTTCTTTTTTTCTGTTACTCGTGGTATTCAATTCTGGGCCTAGATGGTCGATATCCAGCACATTTTAGTTTTAGCCCTGCATCAACACACCTGATTTCAATCAGCAGGTGATTAACTGACTTCTGCAGAGCCTGATGAGCTGCTGCACAGGTGATTCAACCACTGAATCAAGTGCGTTGGAGCAGAGAAACCTCTAAAACGAACTGGCCCTCCAGGCCTGGAATTGAATACCTCTACAATAAACTCAGTTTTTATATTCTCTTATTTCAGTAGCACAGCTATTTGTTCTTAAGGAAAAGAAAAAGTTTGTCTTATTGGACCTTTTTTTCCTCCAAAGGTCTACCTTGAGACGGAGACACTACTGCAGCATCAGTATCACTCCTCATCACATCGTTACTATCTGGGATCAGTCAATAAACATAATTTCTCTTATGATCATCAGCATTTATTTGTTAGGATTCTGCTGCAGTTTGTAACCATAGTCTTTATAAATACTGTTTATATATTTTGCTGTGTCATGTTTTCAGTTAATTCTAAATTTGACCATCCTTCTCATCAGCATAAATGTACCAAAAGCAAAATACTTAGTTTTAATCTTCTGGTTCAACATTTGCTTGTAACAAGAAGACAACTAATAAAGAACTTGGATCAGATTAACTCTGTGGTTTATTTCACTCCCACTGAAGGCAGAACACATTGAAGCATTTCTATTTTTATCTACGAGGTCTTTAAGAGCCACAAAGCGGGACAGCAGAGGATCCCAGCACCTGTTGTGTCACTCGAGTCTGAATGAACGTGTGAATAAAAGCATTGCGGCGAGAGAAGGAGCTGCTGGCGGTTATTCTGTGGATCTGGGTTTTACGTGTTGCTGGAGAGCTCCTTCGGAAGCACTCATTTATTTTTGTCAGCTGACATTAAAGCTCACCTCTCTCAACATGGCACCAGAGCTCCCAGAGACGGGACAGAACTGGGCTCTGACTGGAGCTGCCGGCTGGTGATTTTCTCATTTAGTGAGCAGAGAGGTCAGATTAACGATAGTCTGTTTATGGTACCAGACACTGACGCAGACGGTGAGTCAGCAGGTTTTTTCTTCTTTTTGTGTGAGAAAAATAACAAAGGTGGCTGAGTCATAGGTTTAAAACGGGCTTTAATTCAAGTGAATTGTTTGCATGTTCATTACTGAATGGGGTTTTAAAGCAGTCAATTGTTCCAGATTATGAGAAATAGACACGATCGTAGCATATTTAATCTAGTCATTTATGTGTCTGAATCATTTGACACTTTTAACTGTATGTGCAGCTGTGCATGTTTGTGAATAACATTGAGCCCATGTTTAATTAAATTTGGTACATCAACAAAATAATCCTGTGATGGATAAACACATCTATCATTTTTAAATGTGTGTTTCCAGACAATGATCGTTCATGCACAATGTTTACATAATCCAAGCAGTGACTTAAAAAAATCCCATTGGTGTTGTTACTGATCTGACGTGGTCAGACATCATTTCCTGCAGCGTGCTGTGAGCTGTCAGAGGGAGTCGGTTGTGTAGCTTTGGTGGTGAACCAGCATCATGACCAAAGAGGAGGAGATCCCAGACTGGGTGGGAGCAAAGGAGTTCTACGATAAGTATGAGCCCAAAGAGATCCTGGGCAGGTAGGTTTGTAAAGAACACGCAACCCGTTATTATAGAGAGAAACCAAAAAAGTTAGATAGTTATGTGAGTTTTAGTTTTCTTTCTTTAGACCAGGAGTGTCCAAACATAAATTCAAGGGCCAAAATCCCACATAATTAAGTAATTGCATTAAAATGCAATAATTTATTGAAAAGAACAGTAATTTGTTGTTTTTTTTAGAAAAATGCGTGTAAAACTTGTTTTCATTTATTTATTTGTAAAGCCCACACTGCCGCCAATCAAGGCTGCCCAAAGTGCCGAACACCAACAATGCATATAAAATCATAACTGAACGTGAAATAATAAGAGTTTACAGTGAATAAAGAGATCTGAGCTTGTGCAATGACTAAAAAGACAGGTAGACCTAAAAACACCTAAAACACATAGCACACATGTAAACCACAAACAAACAGGACATATTGTGACAGGGAGACAAATAGGACAGATGACCCTGCTGCATCTAGATAGAAGGCCAAAACCGTCTTCGGCTAAGAACTCATTCCAGAACTAAGAGCTTGTTCCACAGTTTAGGCGCCAAAACCGAGGACGCTCTTTCTCCTCGTGACGTGTGTTTAGACCTTGGAACAACCAACAAGTCTTTGTCAGATGAGCAGAGGAAACGTATCGTTTTAATAGCTCTGCAATGTAAGGTGGGGCAGTCCCCATAAGAGCATGGAAGACAGTGACCAGAACCCTAACTGCTACCCGATGTTTTACAGGAAGCCACTGCAGGTCATCCAGGATCGGGGATATGTAGTCCCACTTTCTTAGCCCGTAAACGAATCTGGCTGCAGCCTTTTGCACCATCTGCAGCTTATTGGTTGCAGACTGTGCTAGACCTGCGTAGAGGGAGTTACAATAATCGAGTCGAGAAAGAACAAAAGAGCACGTTACAATCTACACGTCTCTTTTCAAGAGCCTCGACTTATTTCTTGACAGCTGACGAAGTAAAAAAATAAACAAGATCTGATAACTGCGTTCATCTGTGAGTCAAACGACAAGGAGTCTAATTTCACCCCCAATTCAGCAATCGCATTTTTTCTTAGTAGATGAGGGACATAAAAAGGTCTCAAATGTTTGTCTTAATTAAATTTATAGTCTGGTTGATGGTGTTTTTTTTAAGTTTTCTTTGGTCCTAAAAATATTTTTTTTTGTCTTATCGCCTACAAGAAAAACGAATTGGGTCACTCTTCAAAGTGAACATCAAATTGTTAGGAAGTTTTTCTATCTGCATCCTGCTGGAAATGCCATATAGAATAACTCCGACGGCCACAAGTAGCCCCCAAGCCACACTTTGGACATGCCTGCTTCAGACCAATAACAGTCTTTTAGTCAAATTCACGATGTAAAGGATCTAAACTTGTATAAATCCCCCTTTTCTAATTTTTTAGTGTAATCTAGCTTTCCAGCATCATGCTGCTCAGCTTCTACTTCAGCTAGAACACCCACCAGTCTTAGACGGGTTTCCTTGAAGTTTCCCAGAAGTCTTTGGGAAAATTGAGAAAGGTCGGAGACCGCTCATTGTCATTCCCGACCCGTTGTGGCTTCAGTGTGCTGGAGGGTTGTGCACAAAGGTTTTAATGCAGAGAGGCTCTCAGGAACGGAAGCTGTTCTGATTCTTGGCATAATGTGTCTGCTCTCCTCACATGCAGGTCATGAGGTCACAGGAAGTGAGGCGTTTCACGCTTACATCACATCCACAACCTCTATATCTAACACCCCAGACTCTTAGAATGAAACACAGATGGCATGCAGACCAAAAGGATGATCTTGATTTCTTTGCTTTGTCAGAGGAGTGAGCAGCGTGGTGCGCCGCTGCGTCAACAAGCGCACGTCCCAGGAATATGCAGTAAAAATCATCGATATCACCTCCTCTGACAAGATGACCCCCCAGGAGATCGAAGAGATCAGGGAGGCCACAGTAAAGGAGATTGACATCCTTAAGAAAGTCTGTGGACAGGAAAACATAAGTAAGAATTAAAAGTCTCCAACATCCAGTTCTTATTAGTTTTATTGGAAAAATGTCAAATGTTGATTATTGAGTTAGCTGAGTGACCTTTCACCTCCAGTACAGCTTAAAGACTGCTACGAGTCCAAAGCCTTCTTCTTCCTGGTTTTTGACCTGTAAGTCCTCCAAGTCTACTGGCTCAGCCTAATGGGAGCTCCTCAGAAATGTAACTTTCTTCTCCCCAGGATGAAGAAGGGAGAGCTTTTTGACTACCTCACAGAGAAAGTTACTCTTACTGAGAAGGAAACCAGGTTAGTGAGCTGCTCTACTCAGTCAGCATAGTTTAAAAAAATAAATAAAATCTGGGAGTTTGGTGCATGTTGTGTTTTAGGAAGATCATGCGTGCTTTGCTGAAGGTGGTCGAGTACCTTCATGCCCAGAACATTGTCCATCGGGACCTGAAGCCTGAAAACATCCTTTTGGATGACAACATGAACATCAAGCTGACGGATTTTGGTTTTGCTGTTCAACTCCAGCCAGGACAAACGCTTAAAGGTGAGGTAAATGATCCAGTAGCGAGAGCTTTAGTGCCCCCTGAAGTCACTTGATTTTCAGGCATCCTCCATGTGTAAACGCCCTGTCTGAACCCAGTGGTGCCCGTAGAAAATTGTTATGGGGGGGCCAGAGAAAACTTTGGGGTGGCACCCCAAACTGGTCCTTGTGGTACTCTGGGAGTTTGCTTCGATAAACAGGTGAGCAGCAGCGACTTAATTACATGAATAAAAATCTGATCATTTATCTATTCATTAATTATGTGTATTTTATTGGGTTGGGTTTATGATTTATGAAAAATCACAGGTCTTCCATTGGGGGGGGGGGGGGGGGGAATTTTCTAGGGGTGTCTGTACCACCTAATGCGAGCTTGTCAGAGCACCAACTGTTGGTGGAGAATCTGGATCTGGTTGCAGAACATGCTTCCTGCTATGAAGAGTACAGGACGCTCTGATCTATTTGCTGCAGCCACAGATGTTCACACTGAACTGACCTTTTTTTAAATAGACTTCTCAGAAAGCTTAAGATCATTAGCAGTAGTGGTAAGTCATGTTTCTGTTGAACTGTATCTCATCTGAGGGTCAATTTTATTCCATATGCATTGTATTAAGATGAAAAACGTACCCCTTTAATATGAACATATGTGGCTTCAAACTAAAATATATTGGTCTAAAAAGGTGCAGGGAAGTGCGCAGAAGGCAGAACAGTCTGTTCATTCAGAAGGACTAAAATGTTTTACAAGCAACACAAAAATACTTCCTCTGGAGAAAAGTCTTCTTGTTTGATCCAGAAAAAGACCCCATCAAGGCTTTTTGCTAAATAAAATCAGTTCTAAGATGAAGTCTAAAACTTCAACATTTTGGAAAATTATCCTACATATAAGAGCCTATTTCAACAGGACCAGGGCAAAGAGGTGGGTAAAGGGGGGACCCTGGGCACCAAGCACACAATCATGGTCTTTGGCAAACCCGGCAATATGTCATTTAAATGAATAAAACTAATGTAAGATAACACACTAAAGTGTCTTAGCTACTCATTTGTTTTACTTGGAAAATGTGTTTTTTGAGAACTTTTGTCAATATTACAGCTATGCTGTGAATACATTTTTTCTAATCTAACGTTCTTATTCGACACGTAAAATCTGTTTTTATTTCCCATAACTTGCAAATGTACATTTGTATTGTAACAGAAAGAGACCGACCCGGGCTCATCAGTGATTTAATGTGTCTTTGATGCAGAGGTGTTCGGGACTCCTGGTTACCTCGCTCCTGAGATCATCGAGTGCTCCATGGATGCAGGACACCTGGGATATGGCACAGCTGTTGACATGTAAGTACTCTGATTCAAATGTGCCATCAGACGCCTTAAATGTGACTGTCGTCCATGTTTTGCAGATGGAGTGCAGGAGTTATCATGTACACACTGCTCGCAGGCTCGCCACCCTTCTGGCACAGAAAACAGATGCTGATGCTGCGCATGGTCCTAGCAGGGAAATATGACTTCTCATCTCCAGAGTGGGAGGACTGCTCGGACACGGCCAAAGATCTGGTCAAAGCTGTAAAATCTCGCACATAAATCTAAACCTGCAGTTAAAAGTTCCACTAAAAAAATGAAAAAATACATGTTTTTGTTCAGATCTCTCGGATGTTGGTGGTGAATCCCCAGCACCGTTTCACGGCTACGGATGCTCTAAATCACTCGTTCTTCTCTCAGTATGTGTTGAACGAGGTGCGACAGTTCAGCCCATACCGGAGGTTCAAGGTGAGGCTGGAAGGATTCTACTAATTTCAAATGTGAACAATCACAACTCAGTGAAAGCCATATGATGCCTTTCTCCTCAAGGTTATCTGCATGACCGTTCTAGCCACCATGCGTATCTACTGCAACTACCGCCGTGCCAAACCGGTGACCACGGAGGTGATAAAGAGCGACCCATATGCCGTCAAGCCCATCCGCAAACTCATAGACGCCTGCGCCTTCAGGATCTATGGCCACTGGGTCAAGAAGGGTCTAACCCAGAACAGAGCTGCACTTTTTGAGAACTCTCCAAAAGCCATCCTGCTGTCACTTGCCACCGAGGCAGAAGAGCAGGCGCAGCAGAGCTGGTAGTCAACCTGGAGAACTTGGGACTTGCTTCCACTCTTAATATTTTGGGAAAATCTGAACTGATAAATGAAAACTTACATTTTTCCTTTTCTTTCTAAACTTTTGGAAAGGTGCATTAATGAGATTTCTCAGAAAAGCTGCCAGGTGCTTTAAATCTGGAAAATGAGACATTTTAAAAGTGAATGAAGCTTCAGAGACAGCCTGATCTCCACTCTGCTGTTGCACCCCTTAAGCCATGAATATGTGCAAATTTTACCAATGAAGTGATGTCATCATTACCCCCCAAAAATGTCTATCTAAACTTTATCACAGAGTTCAGCATTTGGACACAAGTTCTGAATATTAAACAGTAACTGCATATTTGAAACGACTCACTGTAACACACACCGGTGACAGCTCCAGTGAGTCTTCAGCACTTTAGTTTGTATGCTTTGAATATATTTATTAAAAGTTTCACTCATTCAAAACACAAGATGTTTATGATGCATCTGATTTTAAAGGCTTTCAACTAAAAATGAATATTCCAAACACATGAATAATTTAAATAATTTATTAAAGAAAGGAGAATATCACAGCACCAGGATTCACAACAGGACAAAGAAACACTGACACAACACGCTGAGTTTTGCTTGTAAAGAAAAAGATAAGTTACCATGGCGCTCACAGCATGCCCAGAATCCTGTTTTAGAAACAATAAAGCAAATTTAGGAAAAGACAATAATTTAGTACAAAAACACAACACAGCACATCATTGTACTCATTTCTCTGCAGACAGACGAAGCTAAAGAGCAGCCACCGTCCAGGCGTTTGGCAGAAATGAGACGAGGCTTTGGCATGGTGTCTGACTGCATCCCGCACACATCAGCTGGAGCAGAATTCAGCCATGCCTCTGATCACCATAGGTGTGTTATCGTGTTAACAGAGAGGGTACAAACATACCATCCTGAGTGAGGCCCGTTCTCTGTCTGAAGGTTAGTTACAACGACCTGTGAGTGTGGATTAGTCCGTAAAACTCATGCTGCAAAACACAACAAACACCATCAGGACAAATGCAGCAACAGCGTAAACAAACAAGTTTATCACTAATAAATGCAAATCTGAGCTTTGTGTTGCTGTGTTCACTCTGACGTTCAGAAACAGGCCCATGAATGAAAGCAGATCTTGCTTAGTCATGTGAAAACAATCCTTTGGCATGGTGTCTGACTGTATTTACTACAGGGAAAGTAACACAGAATTCTGCCATGCGATCAAAAACATGCCATAACCGAGAAGACGATACCGTTCAATCCGCAACAACCTGGAGCTAAAGCCTGCTGACGGGTGAGAGATGTTTATAACAATATTAATATCCCGATGTGATCCCTGCTCCCAACACTCTCTCCAGCGCTTTATACCCATTCGTTTATTGTTGTGGCCTAACCAGCCATTTGTACCTGCTTCTCTCTCACCTCAGCACACACAGGTCAGCGTGTTCCTAGTTCCAGCTCGGGTGTGAACTCGGGCCTCCTCCTCGTGCTTCTACCTGGAAAATATAGGACGTTCGTCTAATTGTTAAATCCAGCCATGCTCAGCTATAGAGAGCGTTTTTAAGGTTCTGACTTTACATGGTTTCTGTGTAACACGAAAACGACAATAGAGTACAATATTTGTTTCAATTGGTTTTGAAACACCACCAACCTTAATCCAGCGTGGCATCCGCAGCCTCAGCATCTTTCTTCTTCTTGTTATCAGCGCTCCGGTCATTAGTCGTCGAGAACAGCTTTGTGCTCATTATCGCCCTCTTTTGAACAGAACATGGAACTGCACATCATAAATTTTTTCTTTTAAAAGTTTCAAACGTATAAAACTCCTAATTTTAAGTCAAATCTACCCAATGCAGAAGAATATGTCTTCAAACATTTTATTTAATAAAAAAATAATTTAAAGTTTCTGAAATTAACTTTGTAATTGTAATTGTTCACATTGGCAAAGAGGAAAAAATAAATTATTTTTGTTGTACTAAATATATATATTGATAATATAATGTTATGTTGGACTGTGCATTTCAAAGTACATCCTTTAAGCATTATTTGTTATGTTTTTGCTGTTTTTTTCAAGAAAAATAAAAGTTCCCTCTTGTTGAATAAACTCACTGAGAGATGAATTTCTATTACAACCAGAAAAATTAGTGTAAATAATGCTGATGCTGTCACGCATCAGATTCACGATTGATTGGCTGAGTTGTCAGGTTACTCTTTACATGATAGACCTCTTCTTATCTCAGCCCTTTGTTTCATGTTTTACCAAACACTGCAGGTCACAAGGGTCAGTTTGTTGTTTTTGAGAGACAAACTCCATCCATCATGACTCTGCTTCAAAGTATTATTAAAAATAAATGCTAGTAAATACTTATAAATTAAGCACTTACAAATTGAAATTTAACATACAGGTCAGACATTAATGCTCACATAAAAAGGTAAGGACTGATCGATATATCATAGAAAATTAAATATAGGTTGGGGGGGGGGGGGATAAGTGTGTAAACATTTGTTGAGTGAAACTGTGTTACAGAACATCAACCATAATCATTTAAATGAATACTGTCACTGACAGTTTATAATCTAGACTCTACAGGAGTTATTTCCTTTTTCTGACAATATATGGTTCATGAGTTTGCTTATGATGTTGTTTGTAATGTGCTATTATACCTGTTGTTCCAAATTTTTCTTCAAGGTTTTACAAACTGCAGATCATCTCAAATTGAATTAACAATGAAAGCTAACTATGAATGTATGGACTTCATCAATCAGTAAGTTCCTCATATGTCTAAAATGTGTTGACTGTAAAAGATGAAGAGCAAACCCAAAATACATTGAAAAACATTTGACAAGTTATTAAAAGTGATCAGAAAAAGCTATGATATCTTGCCTTCATTAAAATCGAACCTTGAGGCTTTTTAATCTTCTGTGACTGAATGGAAGAGACAAATATAATCAATGTTTTGTTTTTGATACTCTTCTTGCCATAAAACAATAAACAAATCACATTACATTCTGTAATTCTGATTCCTTAAAAAACATTTGTTCTGATGAAAACAGAAATTCTAAATTATAAAATATCAAATAATAGTTTTTATTTCATAAAATTTATTTTCATGGTCTTTTCCTCCTTCTTATTGTGGCTGATAAAATGTACTTTATCCAGTCAAAACAATGAGTATGGCATCTGCACAGATGGATTATCATTCAAAAATCTGTGTAAAGAAGCTGTTGAACTATTTGAGGCTCAAGTACCAACCAAAATGCAAAAAAGGCACACCTGTACTGAATTCTTTCATATTTTTTGAGAAGCAAAACTTGATAAGCTAAGAAAACTAACAACTGGCTACAGGTTTAGTTTCATATCCCCTACAGTAGTTACACTCAAACTCAGATGAAAACAAAATACATGAACATAAATTGTATTACGCTTCAAAAGCGTACATTATCTGAGTGGTGATCGGTAAGAAAGGTCAGATTTCACAATTAAACTGGCCTGTACATAACTTAGCACTACAATTCGCGGTTCTTTACGTCTTTGACCTCTTGGGGTCGCCGTAGAGTGTTGCCATGGAACCGAGTCAAGAGGGTGAGTGGGCGGGGCCTTGTCGGCTTCTTTCTGATTGGTCCATTGCTGAGCTTCTCTCTTCCTCATCGGTGAGTCCGTCGAGAGCGGTCCTGTCGTCTATGTAGAAGCTGCTCCTTGTGCCTTATCAACGCTGCCTCTACCAGTAAGTATCAAGAGGAAAAATAATCAACGTTTTAAGCACTTTTTTAAAAAGCACGAGCCCGGGGTCGCAGTGTTGATTAGCTGAAGGCGGAAGATGGCTGAAACGCGCTCAAATGAATCAAAGTAGAGGACAGGTACAGATCGCTGTAGTTTCTGTCGCTTACTAATCTGAGTTTTTATGTTTGACCAGTAAAATCATCTTTGTAATGCTGATTTTCATAAAGTCCGCGCTTTTTGCGGGTTTCTGTGACAATCTTCGGTTCTCTGTAGTGTCCTTGGTGCTCCGGGGTGACGCAACACGGACAGAGGATGTCCATCCATCCTTCTGCCCACCCATCCATACAATTCACTGCTTTATGTAACGCCCCTCTATGGCCCGGGACACGTTATTATATTTTTTCGTTTCAGATGTTTTTGAGGAGTTCACTGGAGAAAAGCATGATGTCGCCTGACATCTTAAGCCTCAGCCTTTGGAGGCCCAGCTGAAGATACTATAATAAATCTTGTTTTATTTTATGCCATTTTTCAGAACGATGACAACTCTCGCACAGACAAAAGAACTGTTCAGGAGAGCGGACGCTGTCTGTTTTGATGTGGACAGCACGGTCATCAAAGAGGAAGGCATCGATGAACTCGCCAAGTTCTGTGGTGTCGGGGACGCTGTCAGAGAGATGTAATAGTGCTCATCTTTTCAGCATACTCCTGCATTTAGTTTTTTGTTCACATTTTAGAAATCACTTGAGTAGAGCCTGCCCAACAACACAAAGAAGGCCAAAAGATCTCAAAATGCAACAGAGAACATCTGCAGCTGCAGGCCTCACATGTTTCAGGGTCAGAGTTCATGACTCACCAATAAGAGTAGATGCCATCCAGTTCCAAGGCCAAAATGTTTGCTGAGCAAAAATCACAAAAGCCCAAATCACATTTGGAATGGGAAACCATTTGACTAGATTTGTCCAAGACACAGGTCAAACTGTGCCTCCCTCCCATTTCAGGACTCGTAAAGCCATGGGTGGCTCCATGACGTTCAAGAAGGCCCTCACCGAGCGACTCTCCATCATCAGATGTTCCAGAGAACAAGTGAACAAGCTCATAACAGATCACCCACCTCAGCTGACACCAGGCATCAAGTGAGTGTGTCAGTAGACATTATTCTATATTACAGATTCTAGGAAAAATCTAAGAAAAGAAATAATGAAACAGATCTGAGTCAAACACTAAGGATTAGTTTGTTTCCCAGATTAACTAATAAACAGCTGAGTTGGTGCTCTGCAGCTCTCATTTTTTTAATTTCCTTCCAGGGAGCTCGTGGAGCGTCTCCATGAATGCAACATAAAGGTGTTCCTCATCTCCGGCGGCTTCCGCTGCATTGTCGAGCACGTGGCCACACAGCTGAACATTCCTCTGCACCATGTCTACGCCAACCGACTCAAGTTCTACTTCAACGGTGAGACCCAGCTGCAGAGTTTCGCAGATCTTCCCCTTTCATTCAGATCACCCGAGAGCTGCTCGATCTACCCGTCTGAACTCTAATTCCAGGAGAGTACGCTGGTTTTGATGAAGTCCAGCCCACAGCTGAGAGTGGCGGCAAAGGAAAAGTAATAAGCATGCTGCAGGAGCAGTACGGCTTCGAGACTGTGGTGATGATCGGAGACGGAGCCACGGACCTGGAGGCCTGTCCTCCAGCTGTGAGTCTTCACGTGTACAGATTAAATATGTATTTTAACAGCACTTTAATAACGATGCAACCTATCCCCTCAGAGCGCTTTCATTGGATTTGGAGGGAACGTCGTCAGGCCTCAAGTTAAAGAGAGATCCTCGTGGTATGTGACAAGCTTCCAGGAGCTCCTTAAGGAGCTGGAGAAGATCTAAAGATGCTACAAGAACTCTGTAACTAATTTAACATTTTATATTTGCACCCAAAGGTGTGCCATTGGTAGTTTTATTTACCATCGCACCCTTTCCATTAGACTGGAGCAGATTTTTATAATGAAACTAACGGTTTACACTAATCTTACCCTAATAGGGATGTCGTCCTATTGGTTTTTATAACATACTAAAAGAAAATAAAGTGTGGAAGTCGAGACGACTTTTAGCAGAGGTTTTTGCACTTTTCACACCCAAACCTCTCGGTAACTTTTAGGTATTAAACTATGGCATGTGCAATGAGTAATACGTATGTTAGAGATGTGATCTGTAATGAGTGTGGAGACGTCCGGCATTAAAAGATGACAACATGCTATAAAGGATGTCTGAATGACTTTAATATCTTGTTCTTTTTCTCATCTTTGAACATGAGTTCCTTAAAGGAGAACGGTGGTTTCCTAGCTAATAAACCGTCTGTTACAGTGAGGAGCAGCATACCTTCGTATCACCCCCGTGAAACCTGTTGGATTAAAAACAAAGACGATAAAACCAGGCATGCTGTTGCCACGAGAAAACGAGTACAAACACGGCACCGGGAAACTTTAAACACCACAGGGCAGAGAGTGAGGAGAATGAAAACCAGGATATTTGCTCTCTGCACCATGTCACACTTTATCTTCATGATTGGCAACAGGAAGATTTTTATCTTAAATGAATATACAAAGAAATTCCTCAGACATTTAAAACACCAAGTACTCTAAATGTATTTTAAATAAATAAAAGGCTTAAACTATTCCCACCCACCACCCTGATATACAGCTGCTCGTTTGTTTCAAGTAACTTTGGTTGGTTCCAAAATGAGAGATAAGCTCTCGTCAGAAACTGTTTTAATGTGGCACGAGATGCTGCACATGACGACCATCAGGAGGCTCTAACTGGACCTAATTAACTCGCCTCACCCAAACGACGAGACACGGAGTGTGTCAGGAGCTTCTGGTGTCTATTCTAACCCCAGATCATTTAGCCTCATTTGTCCAAATAAGTTCTTGGAGAAATAAAGAAACATGGAGTAAAACCAAACAATAAAAGTGGGACGTTTGGTAGACAGGGGGTTTGGACCCATGGCCGATACCCAAGATGGATGTAAAATTCAAAGAAAAGCTGATATCCACTTGTTCACTTCAGAGGGGAAGCCTTTGTTGGGATCATGATCCTTGAATCCATGCGCTGAATGAGTGGGACTGCAGGAAACAGTTGTACAGTTTAAAGTTTTTAATAATGTAGGATTTTTTTGCAGCTATAGAAATACGACTGAACTGAAAAAACACCAACTTGGAAAAGTTGTTTTTTACTAACCTGTGTAATACACAACCTCATGCCAGCCCTCCTGCTGCCAGACGGCGTTCCTCGTCTCTTCTCTGGACAGAAGGTCTTTATAAGCTACAAAATAAACAAGCTTGTTATGAAGCGGGTTTGTAAAACAGACACAGGCTCATCTGGTTAGCCTGTTTAACTCATTCACTGCCAGCCGTTTCCTGATCGCTAAAGGCCTTCGCTGCCAGCGTTTCTCGTCATTTTTACTGTTGTTTTTTTTTAAGAGTGACAGAACGTTGCACGCTAGGATGATATCGATGCCAAAACAAAGAGGAGACTCGCCTCTTACATCAGGAAGAATCCGCGTTTCGAGCGTTATCCGTTCATTCATAATCCGTTGTCGAATTGTGATCGGCTGATGCTTTTCCGGTTCGCGCTTCACTTTTGTTTTTTACAGGAACGGCCCAAAACGATCTCCTAACACATGGGTTTTCTGCTTCCTGATCATGTGACGTGTGACGTATGCGGATGAAGATCGGCTTTAGAGCTGAGATGTTTGTTCTCTCAGCGCGGGGGCTCGTTCCGATGCCCAAACAGTAAAAAAAAAAATGCATTGGCAGTGAATGAGTTAAGATCTAAAAGTGCAATACATTTTAAACAAATCCCTCCAATAAGAATTTTTGGCAAAGATTAATAATTCTTTCCAGCTGTAATAATTTAACCGTTTTGATTTTTGAGGAAAAAAGGCTCCCAAGGAGGAAAAGCAGTGAGTATTTATAGCACTGCTAAATGTTAAAGTAGTACGGTGGACAAGCTGCTAAGTTTTAGGTGACAGTTTTCTGAAGAACAAATAAAATCTTAGAATTTGTTATTAAAATAAAACAACTGGTGTTTATTCTCAAAACTGCAATGGATTTGAAGCCTAAGTAAGGGAAGTAGATCAAAATAAACACGCGCTGACTTGTTGAATTGGACGAATCTTTAAATTTACAGCTTCAATTTTTCTTTAATGTCACTGATAATGGATCACCAGAGTCTTAAGCCTGGTTTATGCTTCTCCGTCAGCTCCGCAAGGGACAGACACGCACGGATTGACAGAAGCGTTTTGCTCTTTTACTTCTCCGTCTCCTGGAGAGTGTTGCAAAGCAATTGCCCGGCAGGACCACAGAGGGCGTAGCGCTGTTCTGTGGTATCCTGCCATGTATCGGTCCAAGATAGTGTGTTTATATTGTGTTTTTTGTGTATATAAGAGACTTTTAACACGGACATATTTGTCTCTCATTCTCCCACCGCTTCATGCGCTCCCTGCCTCTAAACCCACGTTTCCTGTCATTTCCGTCCACAAATAAAATGCTTGCTGTGCATCTTTTCACTCCTCCAGTCATGGGAGAATTAAACGTTCATATTTTTAGAGTTTTTTCGCGAGGTATTCTTCAAGCTTCTCCGTGTCTGCCGCTAGTTATCCTCGGCTCTCTTTGCAATGGCGGCGCTGTAAACAACTGCCGCGTCCTGACCAATCACAAGCTTGCGTAATCCGTTTTGTTCGACGGATGTTTAAAAAAGTGGGCTTGACTCCGTACGTACTTGCGTGCCTGCCGGAGCCCTACGCAAGGACGGATAATGGCGTTGCGTGTGCTCCGCACTGACGCAGACGGAGAAGCATAAATCAGGCTTAACTCCACTCACACTTCCTGTTTGTAAAATATGCCAAATGCAAAGGGGTGTGGCCGTGACTCGGCTGCAGTGCAGAACAGCTACAACATAAACGCAAGCTAACGTAGAGAATACCTGCTTAGCCAATAGCGATGGCTGTTTCAAACTCTATGTAGTACAGACTTTTAACCTTAAGAGGGTGCTAAACTGGTGGTTTTAGGCAGAATAAGATGCACAAAATACCTAAATAATCACCACACATGGCTACAGCGCTATTAGACACTCATTTATTCAGTTTATCAGCAAAAATTGTTGAATTGCTCTTTAACTAGTCTTCTTTAATCCTTTCTAGCCATTTCTGAATAAAGACTCAACACCATGTACAGTTATTCAGCTTTCTTAATGCCAGATTTGAGTGGTCTTGAAACTAAAATGTCTCATTTTGCCCAAAAAAAGTGTAAAACTGCAGCAATAAAAAGGAAGAATAAAACAAAAATTCCCACATTCCATAATTGACCAAACTTTCAGAATGTTGATGTGTTGAGTGTATTGGTGCAGAGCATGCGTGTAACCGTACCCCAAAGGTGATGAACCATGTAGAGGTCACCAATCTGTGAGAAGAACCCTCCAACTGCCTCTCGGTTACGCTGGCGGTACTGAATGGCTCTGGCCCTGAAAACACAACGCGCTCCAGTCAAAACAAACACAGAGCCTTCATTAGGAAACACCAAAAACAGCCACAAACCTCTTTGGGCTGTGTCTAATACTTGAATCAGCCTGTCTGGTTAATGACTTTAGTGTGTAAATGTTTATTTATCTTCACACAGGCCAAGTCCTGGTGAGCGTGTAGACGTCTTCACATCACAATCATCCTGTCGCCCAAACTGCGACGCCTCATTTGTAAATGTTTTTGTAACCCCAAGCAGGAGTTTAAGCTTTCAACTCCGCTAATTACCCTAAAATGGCTTTAAATGGTTCTGCAGACATGGTTTGTAGGACCACAGGGGTGCGTGTAAATGATGGCCAGTTAAAACGAACGTAAACACAAAAAGGAAAAATTGGTTTAGGTGGATTTTTTTTAAACTTGTTTTGAGTGATGTTTTCCCTTATGTGAGCACGTTTCAGCAAAATAGTAAAAAAATAAAATAAATTAATCAATGAGATGACAGAGCAATTTTCTCTGCAGATATATTTTTCAGTGGATCCTTTGAAACTCATACACTCCTACAGTTTTTAATCCTCGTTGGAGTGCACGACAGTACAGCACCAAGTGTGCGTCCTCTCTGAGGAATAGCTCTTATTAATGTCACAATGATGAGAGGTTTCGTGGGCTGCAACTGTTCTGTAACTACAGTTCAATAAGTCAAATGAAATCAGGCTGCCTTACCAGTAATTACCCCACTCGATCATGGTTCCTGGCTGCGGGGAGCAAAAACATATTTATTAGGAGACACATAGAAGAAAAAAGCTTTCCAAACTTTTGCCTTCCAGACAGAACATATTAACCAAAATAAATGGCAAATGCATAACATGTTTATCTTCGTGATGGTAACATGCAACAACAGCTACACCCAGAGGCTTCTTCAATCATCCTCCAGCGCTTAAGACAGCAAACGCCCTGCTGCGTGTCAGATAGAAGATCAGCCCATCATGAAGGATAATAGCTTACATGTCTCAGGGGGACACGGATCAAACAGAGGGTTTGGCCTTTTCAGATTAAATTACTTAATCCACACAAGGTGATGTGGTTTGGTCTGGGATTTTATTTAAAAAAGAGCCACATTTATATGTGCACATAAAAATGGGATTCAGGAAAGATGACTAATTGTTACCCATTTAGGATTTTATCGATAGAATATTTAGAAGCGATAAGCAACATTTACGTTGGTGCAGCAATGTTTGATCAGTATGAGAAGATCATTTAAGGCGATCCGTGTTAAACCTTAAGAGATTAATCTGCATCACTGAGTCTGTATAATCCTCCATTGTTGCCTGAGAGCACTTCTTCTGCAGTCACACTGAGTTTAACCTCTCACGTGGTCGTGTTTAATAATTACTTTGTGCAGAAGGTGAAGCTTCAGCGCCACAGCGTGCCACCACATCACTCACCCTGAGCTGGTAGGACCTGAGCTCGTAGATGTTGGGGCCCTCTCGGGGCACGGGCTCGTTCCAGAAGCTGAACTCCAGCAGGAGCTGATTCCTGCGGGACAACAGCATCTTCCCTCGCTCCATTCTGTACGCTGTAAACTCCTGACGTGGAACGGACACCGATCGATAGGCTTTACGTCAACTTCGGTTAACAGGAAGGTGAAATGAAGACGATTATTACCTTGTTCTGCCTGAGCTTGTTCATAACCTCAGTCAGAGCAGGGTATCCACCTCTGTAACGCCACAGATGAACTACAAAACACAGACTCTTATAAATAAAACAGTAAACTCCCAAAACTTTCATTTTCCAAGTATTTTTGTGCAGATAGCAAATGTTTATACTGCAGGTGTTTATGTTAGTATTAATGATCCTACCAGCCTGGTCTTGTTCTCCATACCAGGTATTCCAGGTTCCCACCAGCTCACAAGGATAGTACTTATCGGCATGAATGGAAGGTAGAACATCCTCGCTGTGAAGAATAAGAAAGCAAAAGGAACCAACTACTGAAAACACGAAAATATTTAACCTGCAACTTCTCTCCAACGTCAAACTTTCTAACTTCAAGCACAAAACCATCAAGTTATGAAACGTTTGAGGGAGGAATGTTGTAAAACAACAAGCTCCATCTGCTTGTATTAACTTAAAACTACACTCACCAGAGTTTGTTGTATGCATCGAGGCACTCTGGCTTCACATTATGAACTGAAATAAATATTTATATAATTTTTTTATAATTATTTCAGGACTGATGCTTAATGCACGTTGCTGATGATGACTTACACTGTATTTTGTAGAGGTTGCTCTCCTCGTTTTTTGTCAGCAGGTTGGAGTGTGCATCCTTTCTGGGATCCACTTTCCTCACAAACAGAGACTTAAACCAGCTGTCCTCTCGGTTTCTGCTGCTGGAGGAGGCAAAGCCCCTGCAAACACAAATAAAAGAGAACTTATTAAAAAGCCTTTAACAGGGACACCGCTGTTTATAAAACACTGCGTCTGCAAGCATCATTATGACGCACGCGCTGGGCTTTAAAGACATAAACAAAAAAAGGTTTTATTTGAAAACAAAACTGAGAAACTGACCTTGAGCTTTAGCTCTGCAAATAAAGACGGTACTAACGCGCGTGGTTTAACTTTCACCACCAAACACACACAGCTTTATTCTCTGACTCTTTTGAGTAATTTAATATAAAGTGCAGCTCATTTGGGTGAGTAAAGTGAAGGCCAAAACCGGTTAGTTAGCAGTTAACGGGTTAGCTTTGCCATGCTCATCGTGGCTGCAGTTTAAAGAAGCAGAGAAACCAATAGCGGTTAACACAGGACTTTACGGGGAATACAGCAAAACAGCAAAGGTAACGGCTGCCCACCTGACCCAGAAAACGAGCTGTCCAGCTGAGAGAGCCCCGGTTTTAGCCGGAGCTAACCCTCCGCGGACTCTCTGAAGGACTCTTGTCGCCATCTTTCAATGGAGTGGAGGCCATTACGACATGTGACCAGCAGGTGGCGGCAGAGCCCCAGGCCAAATTTTACAAGTTTTTTTTTATTCAAATTTTACAAGTTGTAATGGAAATTAAAGATAAACTCGTTTATAGAGGAAGTTATCAATAAATTATTGAAACTTATTAAAACATTTAGTTTACTTGAAGTCATTTTTAAAATCATTTTACTTTCAAACTTTGTCCACCCTAATTTTTTATATTACTATTTATGTTTTTGGCTATACTTGGTCAATTTATTCCAAAACAAATGTATGTATTTTGTTTATTGTTTGCCAAATGATTTTTCACACTATCATTAACGAATAACAAAAAGAATAGCAGATAAAGCGGACAGTAATTTTTGTCCTTTGAGGCCACCATACTGCATGTCCAACACACCTGATTTAAATGAATGGTACTGATGGCTTTATTTAAAAGTTGTTGGAAACAAATACATTCATTTAGAAAATGTTGTAGTGCTTATATAAAGGTAGAGGATCTTTCATCCATTGTTCTGCAAGATAAAGTGGTTTATATCTTCAAATGACCCACCTCAGGTTGTGCACAAATGTTTACAAACCATTTTTGAAAATGAAAGCCCATTAAAACACATTTTATATTGTCATGTGTCTGTTTGATCAAATCGTGGTTCAAAATTAGTCATTTAAAAATAAATATGCTGTAATTTATGCACAATTTTAACTACAGCTTTTATTTTTATTTATTTATAACATTAAGTGGTTGTATTTTGTAGAGAACTTTAAGTTTCATATGATTACCTTGAAAATTGTAATGGTATATGGTAAAAAAAAAAAAGGCCTGTAATTGTATAGTGCCTTCTGGTTCTACAACCCCCCAAAGCGCTTCACAACACAATCACCCATTCATACAGACATTCACATGCTGGTGGGGATGAGCTACAGTGTGGCCACAGCTGCCCTTGGGTGCACTGACAGAGGCAAGGCCTGCCATACACTGGTACCACCAGTCCCTCCAACCACCACCAGCAGGCAAGGCTGGTTAAGTGTCTTGCCCAAGGGAACAACAGCAGCATTCTCTGGTGGGATTAGAGGCCGACCGACATGATTAATTTTTTTAAGTCTGACACTGGTTTTTCAAGAGTTTTGTTGCCAATGGCTGATATCTAAAGCCGAATATTAAGGCTGATATGTATATATTTTAGCAGCACATTGATTGTGAAAGTCAACTAAATGCTCACTGTGTGCAATATAAATTAAATAAGTCAATAAATTTCTTAATATTTATTGAATCACATCAAATCAAATCAAACTTTATTCATATAGCACTGAATCACACAATGCATGTAACTCAAAGTGCTTAACACATTTAAAAGGCCCCGCATACCCACATTCCCTTCCATCCCCAGAATTTAAAAACAGTCTGAGAATAAAAATCCCTTCACAACACTCATCCTCCGGCACGCGCACACACACACACACACACACACACACACACACACACACACACACACACACACACACACACACACACACACACACACACACACACACACACACACACACACACACACACACACACACACACACACACACACACACACACACACACACATCTTTTTTTGGGGCCATTTTTCACTCCTTTCACAAATTAACCATTTAAAAATGCATCTAAATGCTCAGACATAAAACCCATAGTAAACACACTAATGATGGATTGCTAAACAAGGTAAAAACTTATATTGTCTAAAGGAAGGAAAAATTTGTTTGAACAAAAAATATTTAAAAAGAAGAATAGGAAGTGGAACATTTGTCTTTACATCTGAAATGTAACACATCTCTTTAGTTGAAGAACAGAATGATCACTCAAAGTGTAAAAAACATCAATTGGTTTTTGACTCACTTTGTCTCAACTAAAACACAAAGGAAAATAATTGTATTTACAAAAGTAATTTACAAACAATAACGACAATGCAGAAAAGGGCTATCAGATTAATAACAAATGCAGGATATTTGGATCACACAAATGAACTTTTTATTAAAACACGGACAATGAAGTTCCAGGACTTGGTTAATTACAAAACAGCACAAATAATGTATAAAGTAAGAAATAAATTAATGCCTGATAAAATACAGAAACTGTTCACAGAGAGAGAAGGAGGATATAACCTGAGAGGGACACTAAACTTAAAGATACATAAGTTTAGAACAACATTAAAACAGATGTGTATCACAATAATAGGGGTTAAATTATGGAACAATTTAGAAGAAGAAATCAAAGTAAGTACAGATATAAATGTGTTTAAAATGAATTAAAAAAAACATATTCTGAACAAGTATATAGTGGAAAATAGATGATTTATGTGGGTGTCCTTTATTCCAAGGAAAAGTAAATTGTATCATTTGTAAAAAGATGTTTTTTTTTTCTTTTTTTGTTTTTTTTTCCATATAATTTGGTGGTTTTTTGGTGACTTGTACCATTTTGTTTGTTTTAATGTAGGTTTTGTGTTAGATTTAAGTAAACAAGTAAAAATTACTTGTATAAAGGGGTAGGGATATATAAGTTTCCACTTCAGCCTACTCCTTTTCAAACACAGAAGGGATGATATGTATTTTTTCTGTTTGTGGTACTTTTTAAAAAATTATGTATGTTTTCTTTGTTTGAAATAAACTAAACTAAACTAAACATAGAACAGCAGCAGAAGGACTGAAGGACGAGAAGAGAACTTGCCTTCAAAATTTGGTGAATTATCTGCATCTGATGACATTGCACAGCAACACAAACACAATAGGAGAACTCCTACATATTTCTATTCTGTTGTTGCAGACGTTTTATTATTATTATTTTGGTAGATTTTAATTTTGCAACACAAGCGCTAATATAATAAAGAAAAACACTGGATCTGTTTATTTGAATTCTTAAAGCCAGGCCACCAAGCGAATACAATCCTGGATTCTTTGAGGGAAAACAACTTAATGAATGCAACTTTTATTATTAATATTATTAGCCCTGTGGTTTGCTTGTTTTGACTTGTTAAACTGTGTAATTATGCCACACGCTGTTGACCACCAGAGTGGGTCCGTGCACAATCACATCCAGCATCATTTTTGCTGACGTTAGTGGAACTATGTCTCCTGTTAGCTTTTGTGGATGTTGTTAAGCCTGGAAAGCACGGGAAAATCAAAAGGAACATTTGCAAAAATATGACAAGGATTTGAATCAGAATCAGCAGCAATGAAAGTGAAAACAACAATAAAACGTAATTATTATAAGGTAAGCGAATTGTGGTAGCTCTTCTTCTAAGTCCAAACAGGTGGGGGCACTGTAATCAAATAAATTATTATTTTATTTTATAAACAATGGAATAAAACAGATAAAATGCTTTAATCTGCTACCAGAATAACTCATCCATCAGTTTGCATTGGGCTTTTTGCAGTAAAAGCCAAAAAGAGTTATGAAATGCAACCACTGAATGGATTATTGATTATATACAACATTTTCAGCCATCATTTCTTTACATTTAACTTCCAAGGCTCTCTTCTTGTGTTTCAAATTGGTTTCGACCAAAAGTTGTTATCACTTTTCAAGGTCTGCCTTTTGGCTTTGGCTTCTTCTTCATTCACTTAAGGCCAGTTCCTGAAATGTGTTTAATTTGATGTGTTTTAAGCTGTTGAACTCTGATCTATGAATCATTCAGACATAAAAAAGTCTCCTAGACTCAAAGCCAGAGCTGTGTCAACACATAACAGTCAATTCAGCAAAGAACCAGTAATTGGGTACTTTGTTACCATCACCTTGTCAACAAAACCACAATTTATTCCAAAATATTTCATTGAATCTAAAAAAAGTTGCCAAAGCAAGCACCACAGTTAGACACGTTGAATGGTATTTAAACACCAACGGATGATTCCTGGCTGAACATTGATCCACCCAGGAAAGATGGAACTCTTAGGTCAGAAATATTCATCTGCTTGAGATGTTTGCTTTTAGGTCCAACATGTCGTCTTTTGTCCTCCTCTTGTTCACGTTTCAGATTTTTTTCTGAAGCTGCACAAAATGCTCAAACTGTGATGTAGAAGGACTAAACAGACAATAAATAAAAAGCAGCCAAAGTCCAAATAAACAACATGAATGACCATCACAAAGAATTATTTATTAAGACACGTGGAAGAGACAAAGGAGCGAAAACAATGAGCTTCAGACGGCAGGTTTTGGAGTTTTATGTCCGGGTATTTGGACATCTCACCTCGGATCAGGTAGCAGTAACAGGATTCTACCACTGACTGGCACCGTGGATGTTTTATCTCCACAAATAACACAAGCCTGGAGGAGTTCTGCTGTGTGGTGAAGGTACTAATTCTAACAGTTAGCTTAAAATAGTCGGAATGTTCACTGCTGTTTCCTTGACGCTAAACCAACAGCAGCCTTCCTGGTCATGAGACAAGATGAGTGAGTCCATGAATGTTAAGTGACAGTGTGACGTAGATCTGTCAGGATTTTCAAATCCTGGAGTTTTCTAACAGAAGCTAATGCAGGAGATAGGTGTAGGAGACTATTTTCATGTTCAGCCTGCATGAAAAACTCAGAGTGACCGATTATAACCAGAAATAATCATTAAAAAAATGTTATTTCAGTGAACCATACCTTTAACTATTTTAATGGAGTAAATTGTACGTTTTTATAAATGAAAAGTGTACTTTATACCTTATGTTATTCCATATAATACAAAGTACTAGTACTGAAACCATCTCAGCATAATGCTGATACATAGAAATACTAAAAAAAAGATGTTGACTAATGGTGAAGTTAGACTTCTATAAATGCAGAAAAAAGAAACAGCTAGAAACAGAAGGATGTCCCTTCTGCTCTGCAGGATCCTGCTGCCCACCCTGCAGGAGCATGGGGGGGACTTCCAACCGAGGACGTATTCAGTACCCCTAATAGATCGATTTATTATTTGACTATGAAGTGACTATGGAGCTAATTGGGACCACATTGTCAAAGCCGCCTTGGCTACTTCACCAACGATGGAATTCAGAACCTACGGAAGGAT